ACCCGTGTGGCTTCTTCCATCTTCTGGAAAATGAAACAGTCAGCAAGGCAATTGAAGGATTTGTTGGTTCTTACATTCTTGGCAGAGTTTGACTGTCAGCAGATATCAGAGTACTGCTATATCTCAGCTGAACTGGCATGATTGGATTTGGAAGGTAGATGCCTGGTACCCACTCTATTGATGTCAGTTTCCATCATCAAATGTTTAAGTCCCTATGCATTTGGGATCTTTTTTGGTCCTGTTAGCATTGCCTGACCCTGCCTCCCCAATAATTCTTTTTCTGTAAAAATTCTGTTAGTTTTGTTCGTATTAGGCATCATTGTGGGGATGTTACATGTTATGCATTAATACCATAAGGTGTGTCAACACCTGCACTTGGAACTGCTTGTGTTGACTATTGCTGTTGTATCATTTATGGAGTTCCTAAGAGCATGCAGAGGTACTGATGGTGGTGGTGTTTTGCCCTCAGGTCCTGCCGTTTGCTTCTCCATCTGAAACTGCTATGTTGAATACTTAGGCACAGATTTGAGGGATTGTTTTTAACCAAGGGACATGCCTAACAGTTAGCGCATTTTTCTGAGCAATTAATCCAAAACGTTGCAGGTGTAGATGCCGCTGCTTCAAAAACAGAGAAAGGAACCCCCCTGCGTACCCAACTCAATCTTCTCGGTGTTGTACAGGGCATCCCTCACAGCGGAAATGAATTTTGTTTTACAGTCAGCAGCCTGTGAGTGATCGCCAACCACCTGCAATTTCTTATTGTCTCACCTGGCAAATTCCTAAAGGGGAAAAAAGCAGGGTTCTGTTTTTCAGCTTGTGACATTGCCCCCCCAACCCCCCATTGCCTCTGAAAGACATTATGTTAATTTATGCAGTGTTTAAATTTATACGGTGTTGAATATTAAGAGCCTGGCTACGCATTACATTCATCATGTCAGAAGTATTCCAAGTGGAAGCCAGGCTTTGACTACTCAGGTTTCTAAAGTTTCTTTGGAGTACAGCAAAAGAAAATTTGGGTGGGTAGTAGAGGTATAGGCAAAGAACCAAAACTCCCAACCACCTTGCTCCCTGCTTTTCTAACCCATGTACCTTAAGGATTTAATTCTTC